AAACTCGATCAACCGGTTGTTCCCTGATTGGGCTTAATTAACACATTGCAAACTATATGTGTACAAATGTAAATTGGTAATTATTAGAACGAATTTTTTTTTTCAAAGCTGTAATGCAAGGTATGAAGCGATTATGTTTTTTTAAAAATTTCAGGATATGTGCATATCAAGTGTATAATATCTCTATATAAGAAATGATTGGAAATTTATATTTTCGGTACAAAAATGAATAATATACAAATATGAAACAGTTCAACGAGGTCAATATGTATTATATTTAACAATACAATTTCATAATTTAAAAATTTTCTTATTTTATCACAATTATATATTTTTAAAATAACATAATCTACTTCTTATTGAAATATAATTTCTAATCTAAGTTCTAAATCGTCGCCAAACTTTTTGTATTAATTTCAAATAAATAAATAAGTGATATAGAAAAATTAATAATTTTTTCATAATTTTTTATTCTGTTAAAAAAATACATATAATACGTTCTTAATGCAATTACTTGCTCTGTAGAGTTTTTTTTATCATCACAACGTATATTGCACGATAATGAGAATAGTAATTTGTTTAAACTAATTTTTAATCTTCTTTTAAAAAAAGATAATGTCGCAATATCATATTTGCAAGCGTGTAACTGTTGTGAAAATTCCTAAAAATCTTAGGTAAGCATTTAATAATTTTGCAACATAAAGGCATTTTAATTTTATTCTAAGCGTCATGTTACTTACGCAATGTTTTACATTGAACAACTGAAAAAGAGTCAGCAATAAGATCGAAAATTATGTTATCAAGATAGGTCAAAATATTAAATTCAGTTAAAAAAGGAACAACCTTATGTTATTTTTGTAATGTGTAAAGAAATATGAACGTTGAAAATATTTAAAATATCAAAATTAAAAGAGACATTTTGTTTGAATATTAATTATTAAATGAAACGTTAATAAACTTTATAAATATACGACTAATATATAAGCATTCTTCAAATATTCAAGTTTCAAAGTGTAACTTTGTAAATTAAAGTAAAAGTATGTCGACATGAATAATTATATCCCATCCAGAAATGATTAGTTGATCAATGTGTCGAACCAATGCTGATTTAACGTCGATCAACCATTTCTCTGGCCGAGACATTTATAATTGATATAAATATGTATATATTAATAGTATTAGATAATATAAAAAAATTAAATGTTCCATTAATGCGAAACATTCGTTTTAACATTTATAATTTTTCTATTATCAATCTTAAAAATAAATTCCTCATTGTCATAAATAAATCATACGGATGCTATTCTCTCGCTTCCTCTTTCTCATTTTCTCTCTAAAAAGATTTTAGAAATAAGTTGTCTTTAATAATAAGCTTAGAGATTTATCCGATCATTTATATGGATTTGAACTTGGATTTGTACTTACAGTGTTCATTAGCTTAACTTTCGCTAGACTCGTATTGCTCGTCTGTTTCGTAAAGATACATTTATCAAGAAGATGCACTTGAATGAAGATCAAAATATATACCTACTTTAACGAAAAATTCAAAGATTTCTCTCTTTCGCTTCTACCTATCTATGCCTGTCTATGCATCTCCATTCGAAATGAAAGTTTTCACATTGTCACGTATCATACAGTACTTAATGACCGTATGATAATTATATTGCGATAAAGATTCGAGCAATAACGTTAAATAATTTTTTTATTATTAATATTTGTACAATGCAGATTACTTGTATAATTAATAGGTCATTTGCATTAGTAACTAATAGTAGGTCATTAGTATTGTCATTAATATTCCCTGATTTGGTTCGCGTGTAAAAGGAGAAACGCTGCGTCATGAGTTATTGGGAATTTAAATACTTAGACTTTAATCAAGAATGTGTAATTTTCCCGTTATTTATTGTATAAAGAGCTTTCACATCCTTTCTCGATTTATCATCCACATAAAAGAGGGAAGATCTCGGGTCAGAATATTTTATTATTTTTCTTTACATAAGTAGCAATTTAAATTTTTAAATACTCTAGTTCTATTGAGAATGTAATCTCCCTCGGTAATGATTAAAGATTCGATATTTGTCACAATATCTAGAAAAATTTATTCATTATCCTTTCGATCTTTAATGTACATACATTACAATACGTATACAAATACGTGCTATGCACTTGCTGATATATCGCTTTGATAGAAAAGTGATATACCTGAAAATTGGCAACTTTTCAGGAAACCATTTTTTAAATTCTGAATTGGAACAATGTTTTAGGAGTCTTTTAAGAAAAAATGACATAATTCCAAATAGAACGTTTGTCTACAGTTACTTAATTACCGATAACATTTCTTCGCGATATTAAACTCAAAAAATGTCTTTTTCTAAAAACAATCATTACCCCTTTAATTATAAATTGAGAGAGTTATAAATGTATTACTTTTCTAACAAAAATATACACCTTTAGAGTTGCTATCTTATCATTAACGCAAAAATAATTTTTGAAATGTCGTTCGTTTTATCAAACAAGTGATATGCGTAATAACGATAATGGTACATTGTAGTGAAGTAACAATTAGTTACGCGCTGTAACTTTTATAGCCTTCGAAAATTTTGAAGAAAATTTCTCGGCTTTTATCTAGAGAAAAGTTGGTCCAGTAATTTTTTGCAGCTCTCTTTCTTCGAAAAAAATCTTTTTGAAATATATCTCATTTTTTTAAGGCGAAGATTCATTTTTAAGAAAAGATGAATCTCTTTCGTTCTTCTGTAAAACAGTTACTTTGATTTGCAAAGTGACTCGAGAGAAGATTGACTTCTAACTAGTGTTTACTAATTCCTTCCTTAAATACACATAGCTTCAAAATCTCAACAATTACGCCATGAGTTCAATACGAAATCGCTCACTCAAGGAAAGTAATTTTCCTTCAAAAGATATGCTAGCTTGATGGATTGTCGACTTGACAACAAGCTGCTTAGAAAAAGAAAGAAAAAATCCATAAAGAAACAAGTGTTCACGTTGGAACACGTTATGGCGACTTCGGGAGATAGCGGTAATAGTTTCTTCGGAACGTGAAAGTTATGTTCCGCGGTACATACAGCGAGTGAACGACCGGATGATGTGCATCGAGGAAATACTATTAAGAACTAATTGCGAGCTGATGCACGTATAGCATGTTTCGTTTACTGATCGCCGTGCTGAGTCGATCTCTCGAATATCTTAATATCACGCGCGTGTAAACGTAGCGATTTATTTGTTCTAAACGTATATTTTCTCATTTAAATATATTTTAGAAATATATCTTTTTGGAAAAAGTATCCGATCGAAAAATAATTAAAATGGTAAAGCTTTCGTGCTTGTTATATCTCGTTCAAGTAAACCATTACATCGGAATATTGTGTCATGCCAATTATTTCTAACAATGGTGGTAGTTTCTGACCACGCATTTGTCAGATTTGCTATGTCAGTAAAAAAAAAGATATGTGTCAGCGACAAAGTGCACAAAAATTTTGCCTTGTTGAATTTAAAAGCACCAGGGAAAAAATGTTTCATATATAATTTAAATATATTATATAAAATTATATTAAATATATAAAATTATATTATTATATAAAAAATTATATTAAATATATAAAAAATATTTAATTATATAAAAAATTGACATATTTTGTATACAATTATATCTATTTATACATGCAAAAAATATTTTGCTGCTCTAGCTAGAATCATAGCTGTTTTCTGTATCTGATAGAAAATTATATATCATACGCATAGAATTTATAGCACAAATATAATTCTATCTCTGTCATCTATACGATTAGGTGCAATCATATCCAATATCGCAGTATTTGCTAAAAATTAATCTATTTTAGCTATTTTTCGTACTTATAACATAATTTTCGCTATAACTGCAAGATCACTTTTTTGAGTGTAATTATATATAAAATATGTTCATACAATAACATTTTTTCCCGGGCAGGGTTGGGAAGTAACGTACGTTACCTGTAACGAAGTTACAGTTAAAATTACTTCTTTCAGTAACTGTAAAAAACTTAACTTCATTCCTTTCTTTTCATTTATAACAGTAACTTAATTACATTTTTTTTTACAACTAGAAACTAGTCTAGTAGTTATTTTTGTAGTTACTTTACACTTATAGTTTATTTCGAACTTATTTATCAACATATGGCAATATGTGGGCTATTCAAAATAAAGTGCTCACAATTAATAAACAATAATTATTTCTTGTGATTGGAATATATATTTATTCTTGATAAAATGATCACATTCTGTAAAAAATTAGGCTAATAGCCTTTTAGTATATAAACACATCTTAATATTGATCCCCAAATTTTGAGATTTCACGTAAACATATTAATTTATTATAAATAATATAGCTTACAATGTTCAGCATAATTAGTAAAATAATTTAATAATGTTATAAATATATAAGATTTTTGTATTTAAATAAGAATGCAAAAAATTACAAAAAATTAACAGAAAAGTAACTAAAAATTACGACTTGTTATTTTTTAAGTAACTATAATTGTATATATATATATATGTTTCTTTTTCATAATCGGTAATATGTAACAGGGTAACAGTTATTTTTCAAGAGAAAAAACTATAACTGTAACTATAGTTATTTTTTACAAAGTAACTTTTCAATTCTGCTTAAAATGCTTGACGTAGTCAAAGCAATTCTAAAAATAAAGTACGGTATATATAAAGTGTTATTTCATTAAATTACTAGACGAAATAATCGATGCATTTGACGGCTTATAACATTAATGGAAATGATATTTATACACTGAAAAAAAAGATTGGCTGCTGCAGCAAATTAGATGGTAAAATATGGCATAGCATTTTTAATTGGTTGCATCAGTCAATTTTTGGTTGTGTTAGCCTATCGAAATCCTATACTGACATTGCAGTGTAATTAAAATGATTTGATGTATGCATAATTTTTCATAAATGCAAGTTTATTAGAATCGACCTATTTTTTTGTGTTGCAGGCGATGGCGAACTTCATTAATTCGACAACACAATTTTTCAACGATGCGTACGACTATTACCTCTGGACTCTGTCCCTCGCAGGTAATCCATAAAAATTCTGTTACAAGGATTACAATTTTCTGTGATATCATCTATTTAATTAGTATTATCTGCTCTTTAACAAATATTGTCTTGCAATATGTCATCTAGATGTTTTTAAAGAGCTTCAATTTACGTAACTTTAATGATATAAATTTATTTCTAATATAAATTTCTATATATTATTATTATTATACATTATAAAAATCGATTTAATTTTATAGAATTGACTTGTTATAAATAAACAAGGTACATCGCAACTTTTACAAAATTGGTCACCATTTGACCAAATATCGACACGACAATTTTTGACTTTCAAATTTTAACATGTGACAATAGTTAATTATTATTTATTTATTATTTTCTCTGTTTCAATCTATTTGACGAATTCTTATACAATATACAAATTATTATTGGCTGCGAGTTCTGAGATTGACAATCCACTACCACTCAGCTATGTAACTGCAGTGTGTGTATTGAGGATGATTGCATCTCATTATGTACGCCACCACAATTGGATGTGAAACGCTTAGACTATGATTTTGCGATTCATAATTCAACATTATATGTGGTAATGTTAAGAATTGCTGAAGATGGCTCAAATTGGAGCAGAAACGTTCAGAAATGAATTTGATTGATTGACACAATTATTAGTTTCCTGTGCAATATTCGTTCTAGCGCTGACTCCTAATGGCCCCGTTAATTGTATACATTGATTATTATTGTATTATATGAATCAAAGGAGTCTCAAAGTTATAATTATTAATTTTATATAGTTAGTTTTTACAAAATTGTTGACATATTTCGATTTTCAGATGAAAGATCGAGGGGCTGGCTATTGGTTGATTCGCCGAAACCGACGTTAATATACACAATGCTGTACCTCTTTATCGTCTGGGTGGGTCCTAAGATCATGAAGAAACGGAAAGCTTTCAAATTAACGTGGGCTTTGGTGCCTTACAATCTTGCCATGGCCTGTCTCAATGCTTATATTGCCATTCAGGTGAATATTATTTCCTGTCCTTGATGATGGGAAAATATCACGGAACTTATCTTCATTTTTCTTATTAATCTCTATGTAGTCACTTTCACTTGAAAGTAGGTTTCTATCGCTTATCTGACATCTCTCTATATTCTTTGCAGTTGTTCGTAGGATCAACAAGGTTACGATATAGTTACGTGTGCCAGCCTATAAGGCACATTACGCGTCCCGATGAACTTCAGGTAAGAGAATTATTATAAGAAAAATTATTATAAGAAAAAATGTAGGATATTCAAGATCAGTCCTTTATCTTTCTTCGTTATAGTTTAGCTTAAAAAATACTGAGTTTCCTTATTTTATCATGTTAAGAAAAGGATAATACATATAAAAAAACTTATAGTTAAAACTTTCCACTTATAATATAAAAAAGGATTACTTTGTTAGTAATCAATATATATTAATATAACAAAGTACAAGAATGTTTAAAGAGATCGTAAAAGAAAACATGCTTAAAATAAATAATATACTGATAGAAAAAATTTTAAGCTAAATATAAACAATGCAAATATAAGGAAGTCTTCTAAAAATTTGGTGTTTTTTTGTTTAGATCGCTGACGCGGTTTGGTGGTACTATTTTAGCAAGCTTCTGGAATTTTGCGATACGTTCTTCTTCATTTTGCGAAAGAAGGACAATCAATTGAGTTTCCTCCACGTCTATCATCATTCTACCATGTTCTCGTTATGGTGGATCGGTATTAAATGGGTACCGAGCGGATCCAGTAAGAATCTCTTTATTTCAATAATTAATTCTCCTATGATATTGATATAATAGGTAATTATTATTTTAGTAATTATATAGAATAGCCCCCCCCCCCGATAACCTTGACCTTGACATATGTTGTCAAGGTCATAACCCTGAGTAACTTCTGTCAGATTTTTGCCGTCGTTCATTATCCGTTAAAATGTTATTATTAACAAAATAAAATTAAGAAATCTCTTTCCTACTATTTAAATTATTTAAAACAAAAATTCTGCTTTAAAAATAAAAATTTTCTTTGAAAACATTTTTTTTCGTATATTTGTTTTTAAAACAGAAAATTTCGTGATTTTGTAACGACTTTAAGCAAAACTAGATTCATTCAGCAATGTAATGTTATTATTTCTTAAACTTTTTTTGTTAATAACGAATAACGAGTAACGTCTAAAATGTATCGGAGATCACTTAGGGTCATGATCTTGACAACGTATGTCAAGGCAAAGGTCATCGGAGCTGGGGTCTCCTATTCTATATAAATACCATTATTTTAAATTGATTTATTAATTGGCCAAGCCAACGTTTAGGATGACTCGAATAACGGTGTTAATTATTGACTAGTAGTAAGCTTAACTTGGATAAACTTTAATAGCATTGCGCCAAGTACGGTTAAAGTTTATGTGATGGAAATATGTAAAAATCAATTATAGTTACGCTCTGTCTCCTAGACAATTAAAATTTCTATAAAAAAAGAGATAAAGATTTTTACGCGTACACTTGTAGCTTTCCTACCAGCGATGGTGAACAGCTTCATTCACGTGCTGATGTACTCGTACTATGGACTCGCCGCGTTAGGTCCTTCGGTGACCAAGTACCTCTGGTGGAAGAAGTACTTGACAATCCTCCAGCTCATCCAGTTTACGACTGCTTTGATTCTGGGAATCAATGGCATTCGATCGGGATGCGACTTTCCTCTCTGGATGCAGTACGCTCTCGTAATTTACATGCTCTCTTTCATCGTCCTGTTCGGGAACTTCTACGCCAAAGCCTATATCGCAAAGGTCAGACGCGGATTTCGTATATAATCCGGGGCGGGTTATCTCGCGCCCATATGTTTGCATTATCAGTCTATAATTGATGTTTGTTTGCAGGGTAAACAAGTGTACGCCGAGAAACGGCTTGAGAGGCTAAGAGCCATGGAGAAGGCGTCGACGAGTACACAACTCGACGGTGCGATCAGCAATGGAAAGGTCGCGAATGGACACACGAACGGATACCTGAACGGCTACACGAATGATACATCTAAGAAGATCCAATGAGGCGATTCTCCTCAAGGATGTCCCTATCGGGAGATCCAATCTACGATACTCGCGACGCAAGACGAAGAAGAAACAGTTATTATAGACATTAGTCGGCGTCGGGCAGTGCGTCGTGATCGACAAAAGTAGTTTAACAAAAAAAAAATAAATAAATAAAAACGAAAAAGGGGCAAGGGGAAAAAAGAAATGGATTTTTCGCTTAGATCCCGCACGTTATCGGGTTTGTGCTTTCGCGAGGCGAAAATTAGCACCGTGATTCCAAAGTTAAAGGATCAGCATTTGTACATTCGCGGCACCATGCTGATTCTAGCAACTGTACATATTAACGAATATTCACTGAAAAAGCGGTCTAATACCGAATGCGTTTTGTAGCGATTAACGCGACGGACCTGCAAGGATGAGAGTTCGCACATGAATAAATATGTATGAAACTGAAGTGGAAAGATTTATATATTATATGAGGAGTCAGGTAAATATCAAAATATTGTCAGAAAAGTAAACGATCTTTCTTTCAAGGGACAGTCATATAGATAAGTTTTCAGTTTGTGAAAATAAATTTTTCCCTAAATGTAGGATTAGCCAGAAAAATAATTGTAACGGAAGGAGAAAGGTGCGTATGTGTGCATGTAAATAAGTAAACGGACTGTCAGGGAAAAAAGAGGAGACGAAAATGCGAGATTTTTTTTTTTTAGGACGAATGAATGATAAATTTGTGAAAAATAATTGTAACGGAAGATTATCATAAGAGGATTGAAAGAGAGCTACATTTCTTAAAAAGAATTAAAAATGAAATTTAATGCAACTTCAGTTTGTGAAATTTTTGATAACGAAATGTATGTGAGTGTGTGCATATAAAAACTTCTCGATCAAACTTCGCAAGTGCCGTTTCGCGAACGAGCAACAGTATGAATTAATATTTAGAGGTCCCAATTCGGAAAGCCTATCACGCAGCTATATTCCTGATTGATCCGCACAGAAACGGGGAGATACGCGATACACGGAGGTTTGCCCGCTTTCGTCAAACTATACTGCTACGTTTAAATCAAAGAGGATCTAATTCTCTTTGGTTCAAACATAATACAATCGACTGATGATTTCTATTCGTTTTTAAATTTAATAAAAAAAAGAAGATAATTGATTTCAATAACAAAAAAAAGTATCGATTGGCTAGACGAAGGTTTTTATACCGATCCTTTTTTACAACGAATAATCTAGATACCAAATGACGCGCTTTCGTCGCAATGAGAATTTAATTATAACAGCAATTTAAAAAAGTCATAGTAATGAAAAAAACAGAAAAATGTAGCAAAAAGTGACAAATAAACGTCCATCGCAATTGTTCGCACGTTATAAATCATAATTTATGAATCTGTTCTTTATATATACAGCGTACGATTTATATTCTCATATCAACAAAATTTACAAATAACGATTAGCAACTGATAATATAAACTTGAATAAATTATAAGATAATCATTTGCGACGATGGATCATGTTCATTTGCGCGGGAATCGTGTGTTTCCTCATAACATATTTCTCTTAGGTAATTAGGTTATTCTATTCCCAGTAAACACAATGTTACATGTAACGTAAATGTAACATGCGATGTCAGCTCAACAAGATAACTGTAATATAACAGGTTATCTTGTTGAGCTGACATTACACGTACGTTACATATAACATTGTATTTACTGGGTTATATTGTTAATGTGTTTATATAAATACGTGTATATCATTATTATAATGTAACGGATCATGCAATTGTTATAAAAATGGCATTGCTGCGCAATGCGTTAAAACAAAGAAATGCATTGTGTTAATTCTTCACAGCTTACGTTTATTTTTTTGTCCTTTCGATACAATCTTTCACAAAGTATTTATTAATTTTTTACTTTTAATTATTATATATCAAATATATTATATATAAAATAATTTTTTCTTATGTTCTTTTATTGTATACATCTTAAAGTTAATAAAATTACTTTAAAACAAATATTTTACATAGTTAATAAGATTGCATCAGACACATAAATCGCTGTATATTAAAATTTTGAGAAACGATAACTTCGAACGACTAAATATGTTTGAATATAAACTGAAATATGTTTAATCCTTTCTATTGTTTCTCTCTTATTTATCAGTCTAGCAATTATTTACATCACATTTTAGCAGCGTAATTTGCAAACAAGACCCATTCATTTACTTTTTAAGAAACGATATTTTTCTAGTTTGAGTTGTGATTAAATAATATTTACAATCATTTATTTTATTTTTAGACGTGTCGATTGAAGACACTTTAAATATCTCCATCGTATGAGATCGTGATTAACCACGACTCCGTAAAATCGCTAGAGCCAACCATATCGAGCACGTCTTGCCAATGTATCGTTGTACATGACAAACAAGAGCAAATTCGACAGGACCCGTGATATTGTGAACCTTCGTGGCGGCTATTTGCTCCGCCAGTTCATCAAAGGCTGTCTGACGCAGGTTCAGGAGGAAACCATGCGTGTGATAAGCTCTGTACAATTGTTTCAGGTCCCTTTTGTCCACTTGAGGCGTCATATCATTCGGAATGTCGGAAACAAAGCTTCGCAAAACGTTGACCGCGTGACGATTAAATATCGTTGTTAAACCAAGAGCGCTGCGCCAGCTGGACAATTTGTCTCGCAAATATTGCTCCATTTCCGGCGCGCTTTCCTTTTCCTGCGCATCTTCCTCGGGTATCTGTATCACTGTCGGTTCCAACGACTGAACGGATCGACTGCTGGTTGATGTGGCGATGGACACGAGTGGCCGCCAATCTTTGCTAATCGTCACGTTGTATTTTAAATTGTGAGGCAAAATAGACTTCTGCATATTCTCCCATATCTATAATAGCGAAAATGTTATAAAAACGGGGGAAAACTATAAGATAAAAAATTAAGAGATCACAGATCACGAAGTGGGAAAGGAATGTAAACTTGTGATTGTTTGGAAAAATGAATTAATTTTTTTTATACTAACGCCAGAGTGATTGATCAAGCGAGATACTTTCATTAACGAACAGCGACTGTCACTCAATTTATAACGATCCCCGATCTCGGGATCCCACAGAACGATGTCGTTTTTCTCGATGCTTAAAACAAATGCGGTCCAACGGCTTATTTGTGAAGAACCTGTGCCCACAAATATATGCTTTGAATAAAATCACGCTTCAGTGCATATCGACGAGACAAAAATGATAGCGTAGTTGCCCAGAAAATTGATAGCAAATTATCGCCAAATTGGCATCAAACTCGAGTAGAGTTGGTGACACCTAATGCAATCTGTGTCAGCAACAAGTTTAAGTATTGCTATCAAAGCTTTCGTATGTAGATAGCAAAAACCGAGCAAAGCTTTAATCAATTTTGATTTTGATCGTTGTCATCAATTTGCTATCAAGTTGTCAACAAGCTTTGTACAGTTTTTCGATAATTTGTTGTCATGTTACGTCAGCGGATTTTGTTGTATATCTGCTATCAATTTACTGACCTTATCAAGCAGAACAACAGTCACGATAACGTCAAAATGACATTAAAATGAATCGAAAATGATTGAAAAATGACTTTTAATGATCATTTTAGAGTCATTTTCACATTTTGATACCACCCTGGTGAAAAAGTTTCGCTAAAATTATTCCATGTTTTGGAACGTTTCAGCGAAATTGCTGAAAATTTGCTGAAACTTCAGTGAAAGTGAATTTTTCAGCTAACATACTGAAAAATCACTGAAATCCAATCGAAATTTCTCTGAAATTCTTGCTGAAATTTGTCTGAAACTTTTGTTGAAATTTTTCTGAAATTTTGTTGAAAATGAATTTTTCAGCTAAAAATTACTGAAATTAAACTGAAATTTTTTTGAAATATTGAAATTTTGTTGAAAAGTGTTTCAAAACGTGGAATAATTTCAACAACATTTTTCCACCAGGAAATGATTTGTTGTTCTGTTCGGGTATTGAATATAATAGAATTTGCAAATTTGGTGCCTTTTTGTCGACAGAAATTTGTATTTAACAAGCATTTGATAAAATTTGTTTTCGACAGACTTGGACTGTGTTCTAAAATTCTCTGCCAGGCTAAAAATCTATAGTTCACATTACGTGCACCATAGATTTTCGGCACTGGCAGTGAATTTTAAAACACAGCTTTGGTTGATTGCACAATGACGTACCTAGCAATACATACGACTGCAAACCGAAACCTTGCAGCATTGTTGCCAGTAAAGCCGCTCTGCCGTAGTGATCCACCTTGTTCACGTTTAAGGCCTGGCGCGGCGGGACCGGGCCGTAGTGCATTGGCAACGACTGTAGAAGCATGGTGAGCCGTGCAGCGACGTCGGGAGTCTCTACACCGGCTATTTTGTAAGGCGTCGCCAGGCAGCGTTGGATTCCCTTTAACAAAGTATCGATGGCGTTAGCTTCCAAAGACTTGGTATTGCCGGGCTGCTCCATCTTCATCAGCACGTAGATCCGGGTGTGCGAGCGACCCGGGCTGGCTTGCACGTAGCCGAACGACAATACGGGACTGAACAGAGGAGACAAAGCGACCCAGCGTTCGAGCTCCTGATAATTCCTATGACTTTCCAGAGGTATTCTCGCTTCACCAAGCCATTGCTGACCCCAAACGGGGTGCTGATCGTACAGGCGGAATTTCACGCAGTGTTCACCGTTCTGCCTCGGCAATTCGAAGTGCATGGTCTGTTGCCAGATAGGTGCTGGCCCTTCCGCCGTTGCGGTCGTGTGAACGACGTTGCCCCATTCCACTTCCAACAGAGGAGTGACCAGCGCCGATTCCTCCCTCACCGGCACCTCAACCCCTCGCAGGATGGTGACTGCGAGGATCGTTCTCCCTATGGTGTGATGTCTGCGATTGCTGGATGACGGTCTGAGCGGCCGGCTAGCCTGGAACAAATTCTTCAGAGACACGTCCAGCAGGGAGAACGCCGATTGCTCGGTCACAACGATGTCCGGCGGTTTTGATTCGTGCGACGACGCTTTGCGAATCACGCCGACGTCCGTGTTGAAAACCAGAGCCGGATCCATCAGCAGAAAGTACTTGACATCTTTCTTGCTGGTGGAACGTTTGTGAGGTCGCGATAAGGAGAGACTGTTTTGCGGATCGTTCGGATCGTTGCTCGGTCTATAAAGATAAGCATTACTCTCCTCCGGCTCGCTGCTGCCGTCCGTCGACAAGGAGATAGTACAAACGACAATCCCGTCGTACATTCTACCCGAACTGCCGCTGATCGCGAAATCTATCTCCACCTTGTGGTCTCTAACGTTACGTTGGGGCAACGGTAACGGAAGCACGCTGGACATCCCGTGTCGGGCGTGCACCTGTATCGAGAGATTGTGGCATTCCGAGTTTCTCATGAATAATTTGTACAGCTTCCGATTGAATGGGCCGTTTGCCGTGAATATCAGCTTTCTTTTGAAGAGCAACGAGACCGAGACGATCTCAGGGATCGTCCCGGGCCGATCTTCCTCGCGCGGCGCTTGAACGCGGACGTCCCGCACTGCGATTTCAACGAGTTTCCCACGAAATCGCGGCTGTGATTCGTAGTCCAGCGATTTGACGTCGTCGAGTCGATAAGGCTTGACTATCTTGTCGGTGAATGGATTCTCGGAAACGTAAAGTCCGTCCTCGACCGACGTGTTTTTATTATCCGACACTCGCACGGTTTTCTTGCTCTTCGTAAGCACTTCGTTCGTTTTCCGATTGTCATCGATCACCGGATACGCGTAACAGAGACTAAAGTCTTCCTCAGTTTTGTCTTGCGAGCCTCGTGCAGATCCGGTTATAAAATCAATGTCAGAGGAAGACATGTCGCGATTATATATATAAAAAAAAAAAGAAAGGGCTTTACTCCAAGGTGTTTTAATTCCCACGTGATTTATTTACGGCATACAGCTGTTATTTATTATTTAACTTTTAATGAACAATGTCAAAATTTCTAAACTATGGTTCTAAATTATCTCTAATTTGTGTTAAATTTTCTCGTCACTATATGTTATAGAACTATTGTAAACATAAAGCTCTTTATTGCTGCACTGTATTTTACTAGAATTTTCCTTTTGCACAATACCAAGTATACTTATTTCATTTTAAGTACAAAGAGTGTATACTAGTTCAATTATAAAAAAAACTTTAATTATATAAAAAAAACAGGCTTATACTGTGCCTGTAATCTGTGTACGGAATACGGAACTTAAATAATCGCAAATAATAAACGTTTGTTTTGGCGTCTTCGGTTTCCATGGCAACGATCCTCGCGCTGACAGCTGATAGCCTGACAGATCAGCTGACAGCGTTCAAATCGAACAAATAGCGACATCTCATAAAGTCGTTTCAAATGAATTAGTATGAATACGTGGCTCCATCGATAAACACGCGTATCAACGATTGATTGAGAGAGCGGTGGAGAGCGGCGCCGAATAGCGGCAAAAAAAGGTAGGAGACACGAAAACATAACCTTGCTCATCCAGCTTGTAACAGTTTGTGACAGTTCATAGTTGTGACAGCAGATTGATATTTTAATTTGAGTGAATTAACGGACTTCATTGACGATTGATTGTAAGGACGTTAATTGGTCTTAAATTGCGAGAATGGACGAGGAGATGGATGCCGTGAATGAGGAAGTTTCTCCAGAAGGAGCCTCGGACGAGGAAGAGATGGTGATGAGCGAAACGGAGGAGAAAACCGAGGAAGTAGTGGAGATCGAGTCGGAGAGCGACGATGATGACGATGATGACGACGAGGACGCTAACGAGGCCGAGGTGAAAGCCCTGGAAGCTTCTTTGTCGACAAACCCGTATAACTATTCCAGTCATGTGGCCCTGATCAACAAATTGCACACAATGGGCGAGCTCGACCGTTTGCGAGCCGCCAGGGACAATATGAGCAACTTATATCCGCTAAGCCCCGAGCTCTGGCTTGCTTGGATAAGCGACGAGATCAAGTTAGCGACTACTGATGACCAGAAGACTGAAGTAGTCAAACTGTGTGAGCGAGCTATCCAGGATTATGTATGTAAGTTTTTCTTTGATTGCCTTAAGTCGTAGATTTGAAACCATTATTTGTATGGACAAGGAGACGTAACACCGTAACTGTGTACTTTCAGCTGTGGAAGTATGGTTGGAATACCTACAGTTCAGCATTGGATATATAGGCAAGGATGAAGAAAAAGTTCGCCAACTCTTTGAACGTGCATTGACTGTTGTTGGAATGCATGTCACAAAAGGAGCGATAATATGGGAAGCATATCGTGAATATGAAAATATATTATTTGCCTCTCTATTGCCATTGGTAAGAGATACATGCTGAAGTAAACATAACATAAATAAACTTTCCGTTAGACATTATAATATTTTTCTTTTTCTTATATTTATATTTATGTCCTTTGTCCTACATTTATGTTTTAGGATGATGATATTGAAAAAAGAAAAAACAAGGCTCAATTGGAACGCATTGTAAGTTTATTCAAACGTCAATTATCTAATTCTCTTTTAGACATGGATAAGACATATGAGGAATACCAGTCGTGGTGCGCAAAATATGATACAGAAGTAGATACCGATGAAAAGTCCATTTCGAAATGCTATAAACAGAGTTCTGCTAAATTAGAGTCGTTCCTTCCTTACGAGGAAAAGCTTATCTCTGCACAAAACCAAAATGAACTACTTGACGCTTATAAAGGATACTTGTTATACATGAAACAAAATAACTCAGATCTTGTTAGAGTTCTATATGAGAGAGCAATAACTGATCTAAATTGTTTTGAAACGTCGATTTGGTTGGATTATATCGCTTATCTTGGAACATTCCTTGGTGCTCAATAGTTTGGCAAAAATGGATGAGATCGTATGAGAAATGGGACAAACGTATATCGGAATTACAAACGCTATTAGAGAATGCCTTGTCTGCTGGGTTTTCAACAGCAGAAGATTATCGTAATCTGTGGATTATGTATCTTGAATGTCTGCGGCGCAGACTCGATCAATATCCTGACGAAGAGAGGGATAAATATCTGGATGTTGTTCGTAAAACGTTTAACAGAGCGTGTGAGCATCTGGCAAAATACTTTGGCTTGGATGGCGATCCTAATTGCGTTATCCTACAATACTGGGCAAGATTTGAAGCAATACAAGCAGATAATATGGAACAAACTAGAAGATTATGGGCTGATATTCTTTCGCAGGAGCATTCTGCAACAGCTTCTTACTGGTTGGAATACATAATTCTAGAAAAGTAATTATGTATATTTAATTATAATGACTTATATATATTTATGACTTTGTTCTATTTTTAAAAACATTTTTCTAATTTATTTATAGAAGTTACGGAGATTCAAAGCATTTAAGAAAACTGTACCAGAAAGCTTTAAGTTCTACACAAGATTGGCCAGAAAGTATAGCGAATTCATGGATAGATTTTGAGCGTGATAAAGGAACTTTGGAGCAAATGGAGTTCTGTGAAGCGAAAACGAAGGAGAAGCTCGATAAAGTTATGACAGAAAGACAAAAAGCGCAACAAATTCTTTCTCAGAGTGAATTGTCCACACAAAATAAGAAAATGACGAGTAAGAGAAAGGTTGATGATGGCAAGTGGAAAAATTTAGGAAGTTCCCCATCGAAAATCGTGAAAACTGATGTCCGAATAAAACCTAAATTACGAGCAAATATTTTGAATACTGATAAGAAAACAACAAATGATCAAAAGAAATCAAAGCCAGATGTCGTACCACCACCTGGTTATAAAATGACCGAGGATGAAGATATGGATGATAAAGATAGTCAGCATGAAGTAGATGATAGTATTACAATTTTTGTCAGCAATTTAGATTACAATACGACCGAAGACGAAGTAAGAGATGCTCTAAAATCCATTGAACCGATAACGTTGTTCAGAATGGTTAAGGATTACAAGGGACGTAGCAAAGGATATTGCTATATACAATTAAGTAGTGTAGTATGTATAGTTTAACATTTAATAAATTTCAAATGAAAATGTAGCTAAGTGTAAATAAGTAAAAAAGGTAATCGTTGAAATATATGTATAAATTATAATTATTATAACATTTAATTTCATATCTTGCCTTAAAATTTTGAAACATTAAAATAAAGATATAATTGTTTAATCTACTGTTTTAGGAAGCCGTGAAAGAAGCTTTGAAATTAGATAGAACACCTATAAAAGGACGTCCTATGTTTATTTCAAAATGTGATTCTAACAAGAATACCAGAAGTTCAGTATTTAAATATCGCTCTACGCTTGAAAAGAACAAACTCTTTGTTAAAGGTACGACATGTTTATCAATAAATCGTATACGCGCAATGATTACAAAATTATTTTTTCTGTATTTTTCTGAGCAATCTTTTTACGTTTAGTCAAATCATACATTTTCAAATTCTCTGAATAATATTTTCTGGTAATATCACTCCTGCATTCAATATTATGTTTAAGGACTTCCACTTACAATGGCAAAAGAAAAATTGGAAGAGATTTTTAAGGTTCATGGAGATGTGAAGGATGTTCGCCTAGTTACTTACCGTAATGGACACTCGAAAGGGTTGGCTTATGTTGAGTATCATGACGAAGAAACCGCTGCAAAAGCTCTTTTGAGCACAGACGGTATGAAGATTCAGGACAAAGTAATCAATGTTGCAATAAGTCAACCGCCCGATCGCAAAAAAATCGAAACAGAGGAAAATACAGACCAAGTAAAATCACTAGGTGGGACATCGACGAGCCGTACAGCATTTGGCGTGCCCAAGACTTTATTGTCTATGGTTCCCCGTAATGTTAAAAAGAGTAGCAGTAACGGCAGTGCAGCTCCGGATGGAGATCACACGCAGTCGATGAGCAATCAAGATTTTAGGAATATGTTTCTCAATAAAAAATAACTTGCTGTATCGTACGAGCATGTTTTTTCTCAGTCTATTAATGTCGCATTAATTTTAAAACTTATATTGGCTATATATTATGTAATATTAAAACTTATATGTTAGTAGTAATACTGTTACAGTGAACGGATTTACCGTTAAAATTTATCAAATGTGCGTTGTATATTGTGATATACAAGTGCTGTTAAAAAGTCAAATGTGCAGGTACTACAAAATTCTGTACGTTACATTATTATACATTAAAAAATGTATAAATTGTATTCAATTATGTATGCGTATATACCAGTGCTCTATTTTTTTACGCATGTATAAATGTTTTTTTTTTTCCTAAAAAAATCTTATGTTCTAGGAGAGATGCCACAATCCATAGAGATAGATAATTATTAATTCAATATTAGTCAACCTAAACTATTGGTACAAATCAATCTTTCTATTTTATATTAAAAGATTATGAAGGAAAAAATATATCACAAGATAAATAATTATATAAAATAAATATAGAGAGAGAGAGAGAGAGAGAGAAAACGTGCTGAGTATGAAGACATATCGCTTGAAATGCAGTCTCTTCATGAGTGAATGCTATTTATGCGTCTGTCACGTTTGAACGTCAAGCTAGAGTTAGAACAAATGTACTTCGCACGACGATTCGAGTATTGATTGAATGGAAAATCGCTTCGATTGATCGGAAAATCCCTTCGAGCTACTTTTTCTCCATGGTGGAAGTATATTTCCATGGTGAAAGAATATACTTCCATCATGTTTTTCTCCAGGGTGCGATACTGACAATTGAGTACAGTTCTACAGCTCAAGCTGCGTGTTTGATACATGATGATGTCGTTTATGCCTCGGTGGAGCAACTGGCGGACTCTCCTGCACCAGGAGTCTCCTCGCCATGAGCCACTTTTTGGCTCTACCAGCGTGATAGTAGTACGTGTAAAGCAACGCCATAGCAGCCAGCACCACCAACAGGCACGTACCAGCGATGATAACACTGAACAGCCAATATGGTCCGGATCTCGGCAACGGACTCGTGTCCGTCGGCAATTTGTCTGTGGGTGTGGGACTAGTCGGCGGCCTTGGTGGTAACGTCGCCTCGTTATCACCAATGACGATATCAGCACAGGCTCGAAATTCCTCCTGAGGCCCACATCCCACCGCTCCTAAACATCCATGTAACTTTGTGATTTGATGTATGGAAAAATTCTATCTAGTATTTTACTTATTATACACACACACACACACACACATTATAAGCAATGTTTACGATTATATATATATATTCTATAATTCTATAACACATTGTTTCCAGATAAGATTAATCAAATTTAGTTTTTATAAAAATATCACGAATTGTTAGTAGTGTGCCAATTATTCACATGGAGTAATAAACTAAACACGCTTTGCTTTACCAAACGAAGCCATCAAATGATGGTGTTATGCAAGAAGAGTTGCAACTCTCTTGAGTCATTCTTATTATGTAGGATAAAGTAATAGCACTTTCTAGCGCTCTGATAGAATCTTAATGATGTATGGCAGGATTACTGATTGTTATATCATATACATATATAGTTAAAATATACGAATCAAGAATATAAGATAAAATTCACAAAAATGTTTTTAGATTATTTGCGACACGGCAAAATGCTTGTTCCAAATCGTTTTTCATATGTGAACTCTGACCTACTTTAACTCTCTGTTGCCATTTGGTCCATTATAAATTTAGCAGATAATACATATTTGTTTTTTTTTTCAGAGTCTATGTTTTATTTTAATAACAGCGGCCTTTCATGTTTCGGTAATCCATAATATAAGAGTGACCCATTTTAATCTATCACCCCAAATATTCCCTTGCATTTTACAAGAAAATGTTTCAAACAAAAGTTGTATGGTTTCAAGGGGGCCATAAAATGGTACTATTGGTTTGACCTTATGTCCTGGATAATATTTGTCAAGATCAAGGCCATTGGTGATTTACCTCTTATTTTCATTTTTACGTAAAAATGAATTTTTAATGCAAAAATGAAAATAAGAGGTACAGCCTGCAATGGCCTTGATCTTGACAAATGTTATCCAGGACATGATCCTGAACAACATTTAAGAGATTTTAGCCGTCGGTCGGACAACTTGCGTAATACTAATGCCGGCTGTAACTTTCGAGCCTTATAACTCGAAAAATACTTAATGAAAAAATATTTTATTATAGTGCTTTGGAAAGCTCTCGAAATAAGCTACAAGAATATGTAATGAAAAATAGTGGGTTTAATTTAAGAAATTGGAGGTGACCTTCATGTGACCTTTAAGAGACTATCCAAGATCAAATCAATGGTACCATTTTATGACCTCCTTGAAACCGTACAACTTTTGTCTGAAACATTTTCTTGTAAAATGCAAGGGAACAGAAATATTTGGGGTGATAGATTAAAATGGGTCATCCTATATATCCTGATTCATAGTGACGCTGCATACACATTTTGCGGTCAAATGTCAGAGAGAATCGACGTACCTGTGCCGTTGCCACAATCGCCCCAGTTATTCCCGGCAATGTATCGCCACTGGAAGACGCATTGAGCGCAGGTCAGACCCTCCGGTAATTTGTAATAGCCCTCGAAGACCCGGTTGCCGGGACCAGGGTAATAACGGGTGGATCCATTCTCAGCATGCAGTAGGTGTTGGTCCAGGCATTCCT